AGAAAAGAAAAATTTAAAGTGGTGAATTTTTTTATTAATTGTAACAAAAAGTTACAAATTTAGAAGGTCTTCTCAATTAAGAGTAATCCTCCTCTCCAAATGGAGATACAAAATTTTTCACACCCTCAATCATTCACTCTCTACCCCTATTTATAGTAAACATTAATTAATATGAGCCATTGGATTGAAATCTTATACAAAACCATCAAAATCAGCCCTTAATTCGTAACCGAATTGTCAGTATCGATGCCAGCATTGATGCTGGCATCGATGCCGGCATATATGCCCACATCAATACTAGCATCGATGTTCTATCAAATTTCTACCTTCACGGATGGCTTCATCTCGTCGAGATAGGCGACTTTTATATATTATATGTTAAATTCTGCCTTCCAGATTAAGAGATATCGTCGTTTCTTTGCGGCCAACTATCTTGAATACAATTTTTTATATTTTATTTTTTTATTTTCTCCATCTTCTACAGGCTACTCGGCTTGATTCTGGGCTTGGGCTTTTTGGCTCTTGCTTGTGTTCTTCATTTAATTCATGGGTTTTTGTTGAGAGAATAGATTTTGGGCTTTATTCTTCATTAACATGCAATTAAAGATAAAAACAATTATTAGTGGTATATTTATTCATTAAAAATAGATAATAATGGTATAAAATTGTAATAAAATTTTATCATCAACTAGTTAAGTTTGGACCCATATTTTCTTAACTGGTTTAAATTTAACTTATGCATACTCTTGACGAAGACCAACAAAGTTGCATAACCAACTTAAGCTATCCTTATATCTTATATACAGATGAATACTACTTAGCCATAGAATAGTATTGCCTTGACTATAGCCAACAAACAAAGTATTTATAAGCTTAGTAGTATTCAACTAAAATGATGGAGGGCTACGAACGATTTTATAAATCTTTTACCGTAATCAAACTTGATATAGTTTAAAGATGCTCTATATTTATACTTGTAACAATTAAACTAGCCAAGTAAGTACGAGATTGGTGGGAGGGTTCCGAGATATTCAGCGGGAATATTCATTGGACCTTAATTAAGTAACCACCGCCCTTTAAGACTATAGCGCAAAAGATTGGACATCACCCTTAATATTAAGTTAGGCATCACCCCATGAGCTATATCTCATAATTACTTTTCTTGACACTAGTTAAAAGTTCATTCTAAATACATTTATTTTAACTAGACCTATCCAAAAAGCCCTGAGGCCCGGGCCCGGCCGTGCCGGAACCCGGCCTGACCCGGGGTCGTCCCGGAAACCCGGGCCAGACCTAGGTCCCCGTGCTGACGCCCTGCCTGGACCCAGCCCGGCCCGAAA